ACTTCCTTTGGACTATGCATAAACTGGCGAATTACACTCACTGCATATGCGATATCTGGTTGTGTGTGAGACAAGTAAATGAGTCTTCCCACCAAATGTTGATACATTTCCCTATTTACTGCGGTATCTTCCTCTGCTTTCCCAAGTTTTAAATTCGGGTCCATAGGGGTGCTCGCTAGTTTGCATGTTGTCTTGCCAGTTTCCTTGAGAAGATCTGTGACATACTTCTGTTGAGAAATGAAGATTCCCTGCTTCGAGTGAGCAACCTCAATACCAAGAAAATACTTCAACCTTCCTAATGCTTTAATCTCAAATTCCTTAGCCAAATGCTGACTTAAGACTTGCTTCTCCTTAGAATCATCTCCTGTCAATATTATGTCATCAACATACATTAAAAGAGCTGTAACACCCCCTGAAGTTGAATGCTTAATGAACAATGTATGATCCTCTTGGCTTTGCCTGTATCCCAAGTCAGCATAACTCTTGCAAATCTCCCAAACCATGCCCGTGGTGACTGCTTAAGACCATATAGTGCCTTCTTCAATCTACACACAGTGTGAGCAGTCAAATTCTTCCTATATCCTGGTGGAACCTCCATATAAATCTCCTCCTCTAATTCCCCAGTAGGAAAGTATTTTTGACATCAAACTGCTACAAGTCCCAACCATAATTCGCTGCCAGTGACAACAATACTCGTACTGTATTCATCTTTGCCACAGGGGCAAATGTCTTTAGATAATCGATCCCATACTTTGCTACTAATCGCTCCTTGTACCTCTCAATCGACCCATATACTCTATACTTCACAGTATACACCCATTTACAACCCACTGGTCTCTTTCCTTCCGGTAACTTCACCAACTTCCAAGTTTTGTTCTTCTCCAACACCTCCATTTCCACATTCATAGCTTGTTTCCATTTTTCATTAGATAAAGCCTTGGACAAGGTGGTTGGAATGGTGATGGCATTTAGGCTTACAAGGAAGGCTCTATGAGATGGTGAGAAACTGTTAAAGGATAAGAAATGTGCAAGAGGATATAAAGGTCAATTTGTACACTCTCTAGTTCCTTTCCTAATAGCAATCAAAAGATTCTGATCATCATTATTCACAAATTCAGAATTATCTTGTAAAGGATGGTCAGAAATTGTTACCTCATTCAAAGGGTTTGAGTTGAATTCTTGGATCTGCACAGGTTTTGGAATAGCCTGAATTTTAATTTCTTGAAAACTGTTTTTGAGGCGTTTATAGAGCTCAAATTTAGGCATATGATACCCCTCGACTTTTATATATTTATAATTTTATCCTAAATATTCTAAATTTTATAAAAAAATAAAAAAAATCGATGTTAAATTTTCATACTTATCTTATCTATTATGTAGCGGGAGTGTTTATAATTTTGAGTTTAAAATCTTATTTATTAGAATTTCTTATAACAAATACATTTAGGAGGACTTTTTAATAATGTTGCATAGTGGTTCAACTCTGATTTTACATTTGAAATGACATTTTAATAATGTTACAAAATGGTTCAAATCTAATTTTAAGATCTAAACATCTCACTTCTAATTATTTTTATCATATCTCCTTCCCTTTCCCTCCCTCTCATTCTCTCACGTTCTCTGTCTCTCTCACTCTCTCTCTTTCAGTTCTCCCTCTCGTCCAAGCTTCCAAAATAGAGGGCTTTCACTCTAATTTTGATAAGTAATTGAGCCGGTGTTTTAAATAGCGCCTGAGGCGCACGCTTTGAGGCGCACCTCATCGCGAGGCACTAGAAAAGTGCCTCCACTCCTACGCCTCAGAGGGCGTGCACCTCAACCACTTGAGTGCTCACCTTTGAGGGGCACCTCAAGCGGTTAGTGAGGCGCACGCCTTGCTTGTATAGGATTTTCAGTGGGTTTTTTAACCCTAATTGATATGGCCCCGCCGGCCCCAAAAGCCCAAATACCGAGACTGAAAACATAACCTTTCCCTCTACGAAATCTTCTCATTCTTTCGCGCCTCTTCCGCCGACTGATGTGCCTCATTCTTCTTCGCAGCTCCTTCTTCTTCGCGCCGACCGCCGACCACCGTGTGCCTCCTTCTTCATCGCCGACCGCCGTGACTCGTTCTTCTTCGCAGCTCCTTCTTCTTCTTCACAACTCCTTCTTCTTCTTCTTCTTCTTCTTCGCGCCGACCGCCGTGCGCCTACTTCTTCACTGGCCGCCGTGCGCCTCCTTCTATGCCGACCGTCGTGCGCCTCTTTCTTCTTCTTATTTCCCGGTGCCGTGCCATCTCCTTCTTCGCAAGGTTCCTTCTACTCAATTTTTTTTCTTTTTTTTTTTATCATTTTGAAGGCTTACTGGATTATGTATAATAAAGATTTTTATTCTTAAGCATTGATGTTCCTTATCTGTGTTTATGAGAGAAACATAAGCTATTTGTTACAGTTTACATTTAAAGGCTTACTATAATTCGTGTGTCGTGTGACAAGTGTTATCCTTAGTTTCATAAATATGTGGGTCGTGCTACAAGTGACGAGTGTTATTTTACTTCCGCATTCAGCAATACTAGCAATGGATGCACACGCTTATGCCCATTGCAGTAAGAGGTAATTTTGTGTCTAGTGACAAGTGTTATTTTACTTCCGCATTCAGCAATACTAGCAATAGATGCGCGCACTTGCGTGCATTGCAGTAAGAGGTAATTTTGTATCTTAAAAAAGATTGATAATTTTTATACAATAAAAGTATATTATTTATGTATATTTATACATGAATATATACATAAGATATTGTTATATAAAATTATTTATAATATATATAAGATATTCTCATATAAGGTTATTTACAATATATAACATATTGTCATATGAAGTATACTCATTCTTTGCTATTGTGGTCCTTTTATTTTTTTCAACTGTAAAAAATAATTTTAAAAGATATTAGTATTAATAATTGAGAAAATTGAATAGTATGATTTAGAAGTAGTTATTTTACCTAGTTCGTGGACGTTTTCTTGGCTGTTCTATTTCTTTTGACTTGGAACTATAATAACAAAATGTCATTAAGGTATGTAATTAAAATTATTAGTATTGTGTTTTATTTATAAATAATGTAAAATAGTGAATATGCATTACCTGGTGGCTGATTTTTTTGGGTCTGGTGTATGCGGATCTATTGATGTTGTTATTCTTGAGCAGGGGCTAAGCCTGAAAAATATTGTTTAAATATGTATTTAAAGTAAGAAATGCATTCTTTTATGTATAATTAATAAAGATGAGTAAATATGGTTTACCCTGTAGTTAATGTCGTAAGTGTTGATATTTGTGGTGGTGCCATTATCAATTCAGTTTCTTCAAATATTTTTGAGCTAATTGTAGTAATTGTGGTCCTCTCTTTTGAAAATTTATTTAGAAGATTCTTGTTTCACCTCTTAGTTGGTTGATGATTGGTGGGATTGTGAATAGGTCAGTAAATCCCTCGTCAATTGTTAATGTTGAGCATGGTATTTTTATCAAGGCTTGTGCTGCTCTATCAAATATAATAATATTCATGTTTCCAGTGTGATCTTCAATATATGCGCTTAGCCTATACCTGTAATTTATAAGATAGTAGATAATTCATGTTATAAAATATTTATTTTTGCTAATGAAAGTAAATAGATTTTAATTATAGTGTATTTATAATTCGCACTGCCAATTGGTTCCTGCATGTTTTAGTTGTCGATAGCATCTAGAGCAGTTGTTGTATTGCCAACTTTGATTTGCTAAGAATTTAATTATCGTGGCCTTTACTGTGAATTTGGTGCCCTATATACATGTAGAAAGATTTTTAGTTTAAATAGCCTAATTAAAGGAAAAGAAATAGGGTTTGGAAAAAAAATAAAAAGATTAAGAAAGTGTTAAGATAATAATAAATGAATAACTAAGTTGTGAAAAAGATCATGAGCAAAACAGTGTAGTGAAATGAAAGAAGATAAAAGATGGAAAAAGTATTAATTTGCTTTGTAATAAGCAAAGGCAGCCAATTTGAAGGTTCGATACAAAATTTATATGTATAAGAGTAATCGGAATTGCCAAAGGTAAGAAGAAATGAAGAAGTAAGATATTGAGATAAAAAGTTCATTTTTCAATAATAGAAGAGAAGAAGAAGTTAAAAAATATGTCCAGAAGAGACAAAAAGGAAAGGCCAGGAAATAAAATGGCGTAAGCCAAATATAGGTAATAAGGAAGTTTAAAAAATAAGAAAGGTTTTTAAAGCATAAACAGTAAAGGAATAAGATATATAGATAAAAAGTTAATGTTCCAACAATAGGAGAGATGTTAAAAAATACGTCCAGAACAGAGAAAAAGGAACAGCCGGGAGGAGAAAAAAAGAAAAAGAAATAGCATAAGCCAAATGTAGTAATAAGGAGGTTTAAAAAATGGGGAGGGCTTTTTAAAACAGAAATAGTAACGCCAAAAGGAGACAAATATTGCAATGAATAAAACAAACAAAGACTTAGTTTAGTAGTGCTGTGAATTTTAAAAAAATTACTTTTAGTTGTGCTGAAGAGAGAAGCAGCTGAGTATTTAGTAAAATATAATTATACTAACTGTGTTGATTTTAAAATCAATGTAATAGCGTTTGCTAAATTTTGAAGCTAAATTACTGTAGGTATGTAAAATGACAAAATTAGACATTTATATGAAACTTAAATATATATAATTATTTTTGGTATTTAGAAATACTTGTTGAGCTTACAAAAAAAATAATAATAATGCTATGATTATGAGATTTCTAACAATAAATTTATGATAATTAATTATTTTTTTCATTTCTTTATTCACAATATAATTATAACTAAAAAGAGCATTAATGAGTAATCAATATATACAACAAAAATGTACATTCCGTATTTAAAAACTGGTAGAGCCATGAAAAGAATTAAGTCGTGTTCATTAGACTTGCCTTAATTTGATCTCATATTTCATCCATTTTTAGTGATAATAAAACTTGATTTTCTTCTACATTATGGTCTTTCCTCAAATTCACAAAATTGAGATTAGCATCTAAGATAATTGTAACTCCATCATATGGATATTATATAAAGCAAAAGCATTGTCCACTTGCATAACATTGACTCAAAACATTACGTGAATAAGTCGAATTATTTTTGCCACCAAGGATGGCAACATCACAGGAAAAACAAGCAGCTGAGATGGTGATTGCCATAGGTATCGGCCGCAGACCAAATGGCAGCTTTGTTTCGGTTTTCGGGATTGCCTGAGAGTAACATTGCTCTTCAACACTGACAACTGTGGTGCTTTTGCCAACGTTCGTGTAAAAGTACTCTTCTTTGTACTTAGCTTAGAGAAAGAACATGGTCGAGTTTGCAACTCGCCTGTTGGAGGAATGGCTGCAACATAAAGTAATGTTAATTATTCTATATGATCAAAGCTTAGCCTTCTAGCTAAAAATATTGACAGATTAGAGATGGACAAAAAGGAGAGGAAAATGAATAGGCAAAGATAGAGGGAAACTTACTTTTGTTCGCTTCATGTGAGAAGATAAGTACGTAAAAATTCATGGCGAATAAAGCAAGCATGTCTAACTTCTCAGTCAGGTAAACGTAGGTTGGCCAAGACGAAAACCAGAGACTGCCTCAGATAGATCCTAAGTCTAACTATCCCTTTGGATATCATACAAGAAAAAGAAGAAGAAGAGAAAAAATAAGGGTAAAATGGCAAGGTATTTTTCTGAGTATTCTTCATGGCAATCATCCAGTAACAGGTGACAATTCACTATTTTCTTTGCAGAAAACCGTCTTTCTCTTTCTCAAGTTTTCCTAACTTGAATGTGTTTAAACGGGTAGATAAGTAAACATACTAGCATTCATAAACTAACCTCGCATCTAGAAGGAATATGGCAAACCTCGCATATATATATATATATATATATATATTGGGTACCTTGCGAACTTCCCCGGTATCCTCGACAATACAATGATGGAGGCTCGAAAAGGACCTACAGCAGTTCCTGTCCCGTGATGCAGTTCCAATAAGAAGAGATCCTGAAACAGGCATTTCATCAAACAGTTTCTACACAAAAATAAACTAGCAAAATCATATAGTTTGCAGGCAACAAAATTCTACATTATGAAGAATCATGGAAACACGCATTTCATCAAACAGTTTCTACGCACAAAAAACTCGTATCAAATTTCTACACTTTGCTGGCAACAAAATCCTACATTATGAACAATCCCCAAACACGCATTTCATCAAACAGGTCCTGTGCAAAGTCACTCTACAAAAAATCCTACAGTTTTTCAGCCAACAAAATCCTGAGTTGGTATAAGGCAACAATTACATACTTAAAATGGATGAAAATTCGTCACAATTATGAATTGCTGAAGTCGAACCAAGGGAGTTTCTGGGTTCCAAGGTATGAGGCAGAGATATAGTTTTGCGACGAAACAAACCCAAAACGAAATTCTTCTTCCGAGCCGAAAGCGCTCGGACCCATGAATGAGACATGCCCACCAGAAAAGTTGGCTGTTTCTTCTTCTACTTCTTTGGTCCGACGGAGTAAACCAGAGTTTTGCGCAGTTACTTACAATCACTTGTTAACATCATGAAAAATGGAAGAAGCCGAAGTCATATCAATGGGAGTGCTTAGACTGATACTACCTTCTCGAAATTCTTAACTCTCTACGAGACTACCTTCTCGAACCGCCACTCGTGCTGAGGAGATCGGAATGGAGCACATACATGGAGACTGGCGAACGGCGAACGGAGAACCTGAGTGTAGACCGGCGAGAGAGAGGAGCGAGAATGGAGAGAGAGAAAGAAGAGGGAGACCGTGAACGGCGAACGGCAAACGGCGAACGGCGAACGGCAAAGGGAGAACCATACGGGCGAGAGAGAAGAGCGAGAAAGGATCGAGGAGCTCTGTGGAGCAGGGGATTTCATAGAGAGAGAACGAGGAGTGATGGAGATGAGACAAGAATAATGAGTAGATGGGGATTATTTCATTTTAACGGGGGTAAAATGGAAATAAAAATTTTTCATTAATGTGCAAGAAGGAGATTCCCGGACAATTTAGAATGAGAAGCACCCTTTAGGTTGCTTCTCAAAAAGCTACAAAAACAGCTTAAAATTGTTGAAGAAGTACTTATTTTACTTCTTACCAAATGCCAAAAACAACTTAAGTTGGACAAAAGAGTGCTTTTAAGGGTCTAGAATTAATACTAAACTAAGCCAAAAAAAAAAGGAAAAAGTTGTAAGATTAGAGAGGGCGGAAAAAAGATATGAAATAAGAATTGAAAGGGGAAAAACATGTTCACAATAATTTTTAGACAAATTACATCAAAGTCAAGATATAAATAGTGGCCTCGTTCGTTTCGATGATTCGAGTTTAGAATTTGAGTTGAGATGTGATTGTATGTGAGAACTTTTTACTGTAGCAAAAAAGTTAGATGTGATTGTTTGTGAGAGCTTTTTACTGTAGCAAAACTCGAATTCTAAACTCGAATCAGCGAAACGAACGAGGCCTAAGTATAGCCATCATTACCACGTATGGAGACCAAAGAACAGAAAAAGAAAACAGTAGTAAAATAACAAAATCAACTAATGAACTATGAAAAAACCAAGCAATCTGTACATGGAAGAAGGAAAAAAGAACAAAGAAAAAAAAGGGAAAAGAAGAAATAGTCAATCCATTGTAAAAGGAATAGAAAAGTGAGAATCCATTGTAGACTTTGTATAAGACGATGAGAGTAGTATGACAAAGTGAGTATTAATAGTTGAGAAGAAGATGCAATGCTAAAACGGAAAATTTATTCAAAAAGATAGAAAGAATAAGAGAAAAAAGAACTGAAAGGTTTTAAATCTAGTAAAAAAAAATAGATAAGATGGAGAAAACAACTCAGGGCATTAAGGCCAAAAAGGAAATGCTTTAACACTAACCATAGAAACAGAATCAAGGCAGTAAAAGCAACAAAAACTAAAAAATTGTAGGTAAGAATCATTAATAATACCTCAAACGCTGTAAATTCTGCTTGAGGAACCAACTATGAACTGCCCAAACACCAACAGGAATAAATGATGCAGGAAACTCTGAAAAAAATGCAAATAATCAAGTAAATCAATAAATAGATAAGTAAAAAACGAATCAAAAAATTGATACATATAGATATAACAATATTTTTATGCAATAATCGTGGCTTACATATAAGCTATTCTTAACAATATGTGATAGACATTTGTGGCTACCTACTAAGGGCAACTGCACAAAGAAAAATATATTATATCTATCACATACATTATACATTATGTGTGACAAAGACTAATTAAGTGAAGCAATATATAAAATTGTCCAAAAATACCAAGTGAATTGAGAGGAAGAGGTAAAAAAAACGCAATATTAAAGAAATAGTAAACAGCGTGATGGAAAAAAAAAATAGAACAAATGGATGATAGAAATAGATTAAACAACAGTAAAATGCACTCTACGGACAATGCTTGGCAGAAAGGAATAAAAAAAGAATGAGAAAAAAAAATGAAAGAGACAAAAGACTTTCGGGCTTTGCTACGAAACAATAAAGGAAAGGCTTTGGTACGAAACAATAAAGGAAAGAGAAAGTGACAAGATTGAAAAACAAAGGAAATATAATGTCCTAATAATGAAAAAATAATGAACGGTCTTCAAGAAAAGGAGGGGAAAAACTATAAAATCAAGACATGATTCCCAAAACAAAGTGAACACTTAGGGCATGAAAAGACTAAAAACAGAAACAACAATACTAAGAAAACAATAAAGCCTACCATGAAAAAAAGTAAAAGAAATGGACAATAAAAATAAAGTGAGGAAGAACAAAAGAATTATGAAAAGAAGAAAAGAATAAATACGAATGAGGTAAAAAACTTAGGCCCCGTTCATTTCGTTGATTCGAGTTTAAAATTCATAAAATCACATCTAAACTCAAATTAAAAACTCAAATCAGTGAACTAAACGGGCCCTTAGAGTAAGTAAAAATAATAAAGCAAAAAGTACCTAACTGTTTTTACTAAAAAAACAGTGAACAAAATCAGAATCCAAATAAGAAAAATGTATTCACAGCAATCTTTAGATAAATTATATAAAGCTAAATACATCAAAATCAATCATGGCCATCATTGCCACGTAGAACAACTTACTAGAACTAAGATAGATAAAATAATCGTGACTTAGATATAAGATATTCTAAGTAATGTATGATAGAAAATTATGGCTGCCTACTAAGGGCAACAGCACAAAGCAAAGCATATTATATCTATCATACACATTATAGATTATATATCATAAAGATTGATTAAGTGGAGCAATATATGAACTTCTCCAAAAACCGAAAGGAGACAAATATTGCAATGAATAAAACAAAACAAAAAAAGCTAAGGAAAAAGTTGTAAGTTTAGAGAGGGCGGAAAAAAAGATATGAAATAAGAATTGAAAGGGGGAAAACATGTTCACAATAATTTTTGGATAAATTACATCTAAGTCAAGATATAAATAGTAATTATAGCCATCATTACCACATAAGGAGATTAAAGAATAGAAAAAGAAAACGGTAGTAAAATAACAAAATCAACTAATGAACTATGACAAAACCAAGCAATCTGTACATGGAAGAAGGAAAAAAGAACAAAGAAAAAAGGGGGAAAAGAAGACTAAAATAGTCAATCCATTGTAAAAGGAACTATAAAATTAAGAATCCATTGTAGATTTTGTATGAAAAGATGAGAGTAGTATGACAAAGTGAGTATTAATAGTTAAGAAGAAGATGCAATGCCAAAAAGGAAATTTATTCAAAAAGATAGAAAGAATAAGAGAAAAAAGAACTGAAAGGTTTTAAATCTAAGAAAAAGAATAGATAAGATGGAGAAAACAACTCAGGGCATTAATAACTAAAATACAAATAAAACACAAAACAAAAGAGATATAGGCTACTACCATTGATAAAAATAAAATAGAATTATATTCATAACTTCATATCGACAATATTTATTAATAAGGCCAAAAAGGAAATGCTTTAACACAAACCATAGAAATAGAATCAAGGCAGTAACAACAACAAAAAATTAAAAAATTGTAGGTAAGAATCATTAAAAATACCTCCAACGCTATAAATCATGCTTGAGGAACCAACTATGAACTGCCCAAACACCAACAGTAATAAATGATGCAGGAAACTCTGAAAAAATGTAAATAATCAAGTAAGTAAATCAATAAATAAATAAGTCAAAAACGAATCAAAAAACTGATACATATAGTTATAACAATATTTTTATACAATAATCATGGCTCAGATATAAGCTATTCTTAGCAATATGTGATAGACATTTATGGCTGCCTACTAAGGGCAACTGCACAAAGAAAAGTATATTATATCTATCACATACATTATACATTATATGTGATAGAGACTGATTAAATGGAGTAATATATAAAATTGTCCAAAAACCATCAGGTAAAATTCTCCAAAGGAAACAGAAAGTGACAAGATTGAAAAACAAAGGAAATATAATGTCCTAATGATGAAAAAATAACGAACAGTCTTCAAGAAAAGGAGGGAAAAAACTATAAAATCAATACATGATTCCCAAAACAAAGTGAACACTTAGGGCATGAAAAGACTAAAAACAGAAACAACAATACTAAGAAAACAATAAAGCCTACCACGAAAAAAAAAAAGTAAAAGAAATGGACAATAAAAATAAAGTGAGGAAGAACAAAAGAATTATGAAAAGAAGAAAAAAATAAATACGAATAAGGTAACCGTTCACTTCGCTAATTCGAGTTTGTAATTCGAGTTGAGATGTGATTTTGTGTGAGAGCTTTTTACTGTAGCAAAAAAGTTAGATGTGACTGTTTCTGAGAGCTTTTTACTGTAGCAAAACTCAAATCGGCGAAATGAACGGGGCGAGTAAGCAAAAATAATAAAGAAAAAAGTACCTAACTGTTTTTTTCTGAAAAAAGTAGTGAATAAAATCAGAATCCAAATAAGAAAAATATATTCACAGCAATCTTTGGTAAATTATATAAAGCTCAATACATCAAACTTAATCATGACCATCATTACCAGAACTAAGATAGATAAAATAATCGTGACTCAGATATAAGATATTCTCAACAATGTGTGATAGAAATTTGTAGCTACCTACTAAGGGCAACTGCACAAAGCAAAGCATATAATATCTATCACACACATAATAGATTATATATGATAAAGATTGATTAAGTGGAGCAATATATGAACTTCTCCAAAAACTACCAGGTGAATTACAAGGAACATGGGAAGAGAGGGAAAAAAGATCCAGTTTTAAAAAAACAATAAAGTAGATGATGAAAATAATACAGCAAATGAATAATAGACAATAGCATACACTATATAGACAATGGTTGGCATAGAAAGGTAAATTAAGGAAAGAAAGAGAAAAAATAAAGAGGCAAAAGATTTTAGGACTTTGCTCATAAATGGTAAAGGAAAGAAAGAATGAGACGATTGAAAAACAAAGGAAATCTAATGTCCTAATGATGGAAAAATGACCAGCAACCTTCAAGAGAAGGATAAACGAAATAATAAAACAGTAGGGGAAAAACTATAAAATGAAGACATAATTCTCAAAGGAAAGTGAACACTTGGGGCGTGAAAAGACCAAAGACAGAAATAACAATACTAAAACAACAATAAAGGCCATTGTTGCGTGTAAATTCGCAAGTATACGAATCGCACAAGTAATAAAGTGTACAAGAGTACGGATATCGATCCCACGAGAATTGTGTTTAGCTTTCGTTAAATACCAATATTGATTAGCTTCTAGCATTATTTTTATATATTTTTATAACTAAAAGAAAATAAAAATGCAAGCAATTGCAAATAATCGAGCTAGGACCTCCTAATTTCCCCTTGATTGCAAAATGCTAAAGTTGTGCTAAAGA